TATGCAAGCTCAAGTTGAAGCTGAAGAAAATTAAAACAAGTCCATGAGAGCCAAAATATAACCTTAAGTATATCCCACCTGAATTTACACACCATCTCAAGAATAGATTTGATACACTGAACACTAATGATAGAAGACCAGACGACTTGTGGGATGACATCAAGGACATCATACATGAAGAAAGCAAAAGATCATTAAAAAGAGGGGAAAGAAAGAAAAGACCCAAATCGATATCAGAAGAGACTGCAATTTGTCCTTCAATGTAGAGTAGCTAAAGTCAATGGAAGAAATAATGAAGTAAAAGAGCTGAACAGAAGATTTCAAGAAGCAGCTCGAGAAGACAAAGTAAAGTATTATAATGACATGTGAAAAGACCTAGAGTTAGAACCAAAAAGGAAGAACTTGGTTGGCATTTCTAAAGCAGAAAGAAATGAAGGAAAAAATCAAGACTCAAATTGCAATATTGAAGGATTCTATGGGCAAAATACTGAATGACTCAGGAAGCATAAAAATAAGATGGAAGGAATACACAGTCACTGTACCAAAAGGAATTGGTCGATGTTCAACCATTTCAGGACGTAGCATATGATCAAGAACTGATGGTACTGAAGGAAGAAGTCCAAGCTGCACTGAAGGTATTGTGAAATGCAAGGCTCTAGGAACTGATGGAATACCAATTGAAATGTTTCAATAAATGGGTGCAATGCTGGAAGCACTCACTTGTCTATGTCAAGAAATTTGGAAGACAGCTACCTGGCCAACTGACTGGAAGAGATCCATATTTGCACCCATTCCAAAGAAAGGTGATCTGACAGAATGCAGAAATTATTGAACAATATCTTTAATACCACATGCAAGTAAAATTTTGCTAAAGATCATTCAAAAACAGTTGCAGCAGTACGTCAACAGGGAACTGCCAGAAATTCAAGCCAGATTCAGAAGAGGATGAGAAAGAAGGGATATCATTGCTGATATCAGATGGATCTTGGCTGAAAGTAGAGAATATAAGAAAGATGTTTACCTGTGTTTTATTCACTATGCAAAGGCATTCGACTGTGTGGATCATAATAAATTATGGATAACATTGTGAAGAATGGGAATTCCAGAACACTTAATTGTGCTCATGTGCAATCTGTACATAGACCAAGAGGCAGGCATTTGAACAGATAAAAGGGATACTGAGTGGTTTGCAATCAGGAAAGGTGTGCGTCAGGGTTGTATCCTTTCACCATACTTATTTGATCTGTATGCTGTGCAAATAATCTGAGAAGCTGGACCATATAAGAACATGGCATCAGATTGGAGGAAGACTCATTAACAACCTGCGTTATACAGATGATACAATCTTGCTTGCTGAAAAGTGTAGAGGACTTGAAGCACTTACTGATGAAATGAAAGACCACAGCCTTCAGTATGGATTACACCTCAACATAAAGAAAACAAATATCCTCACAACTGGACCAATAAGCAACATCATGATAAATAGACAAAAGATTGAAGTTGTGAAGGATTTCAATTTACTTAGCTCCACTATCAACACCCATGGAAGCAGCAGTCTAGAAATCAAATGACATATTGAATTGGGCAAATCTGCTGCAAAAGACCTCTTTAAAGTGGTAAAAAGGAAAGATGTCACCTTTAGGACTAAGGGGTGCCTGACTCAAGCCTTGTTATTTTCAGTTGCATCATATGCATGCAAAAGCTGGAAAACAAATTATGAAGACCAAAGATGAATTGATGCATTTGAATTATGGTGTTGGCAAAGAATATTGAATATATACCATGGACTGCCAGAAGAACGAACAAATCTGTCTTGGAAAAAGTATAGCCAGAATGCTTCCTAGAAGCGAGGATGGCAAGACTTCGTCTCATGTACTTTGGACATGTTGTCAGGAGGGACTGGTCCCTGGAGAAGGACATCATGCTTGGTAAAGTAGAGGGTCAGCAAAAAAGAGGAAGACCCTCGACGAGATGGACTGACACAGTGGCTGCAACTATGGGCTCAAACACAGTAATGATTGTGAGGAGGGTGCAGGACCGGGCAACATTTTGTTCTGTTGTACATGGGGTCGCTATGAGTCAGAATCGACTCGAAAGCAGCTAATATTTTTCCACAGAAATTCATGTCCACCTGGAACCTCAGAATGTGTCTTTGCAATTTTTATTATGTTAAAGATGGAGATGAGATCATACTGGATTGGGGTCGGTTTTATATCCAAAGATGAATGTCCCTATAAAAGACAGAAAAGGACACACAGAGACACACCAGGGAGAAAACAGAAATGTGATGGTGGATGCAGAGATTGGAGTGATGTGTCTACAAGTCAAGGAATGCCAAGGATTTCCAGCAGCCACCAGAAGCTAGGAGAGACGCACAGAATGGATTCTCCCCTAGAGTCTCCAGAACCAATACTACCAACACTTAGATTTTGGATGTCTGGCCCTCCAGAAATGTGAGAAATCTCTGTTGCTTTAAGCCACCGTGCTCAGCTATTAATCAAAAGGTTGGCGGTTTGAGTCCACCCAGAAGCACCTGGGAACAAGGGTCTGGTGATCACTTCCAAAAAGTCAGCCATTGAAAATCCTATGGAGCACAGTTCTACTCTGACACTTGGGGTCACTGTGTGTCGGAATCCACTCGACTGCAACTGGTTTAGTCTGTGGTACTTTGTTATGGCAACCCAAGGAAACTAACACACCAACACTGGATGTTGCGCTGCCTTGTGCTGGACTGGAGCCCTGGTGGTACAGTGGATAAGAGTCATGGCTGCTAATCAAAAAGTCAACAGTTCGAATCCACCAGCCGCTCTTTGGAAACCCTGTGGTGCAGTTCTATTCTGTCCTATTGGGTTGCTATGAGTCGGAATTGACTTGATGGCAACGGAGTTTTTGTTTTGTTTTGCACTGGACGACTAACCAAAAGGCAGGTGGTTCAAATTCACCCTGAAGCACCTCAGCAGAAAGTCCTGAAGATCCGATTCCATAAGGATTACAGCTAAGAAAACACTATGGAGAACAGTTCTTCTCTGTAGCATATGGGGGTTGCCACGAGTTGGAATGGGCAGCAACGGGTCATCTCCCTGGCGGCATGCACACGTTTGGAGGTCAAATAGAGGTTTGTGAAACTAAGTTACAAATGTGAAAGCATTTCTCAAACTTCTGGGTGTTGCTGTCAGGAGATGCAATCTTCCAAAGGCTATCAGACTTAGCTCCAGGCATTGGAACTGGCGTGTGAACACTGGAAGGAATTGGCTTTGACTTATGGTGACCTTAACAAAACGTTGCCCAGCCCTGAGCCATCTGCATGACCATTGGTATGTCTGGGCTCATCTTCTGGCACTATATAAGACAATATTCTGTTGTGATCCATAGGGTTTTCATTGGCTAACATTTGGTAGATTGCCAGGCACTTCTTCCTAGTCTGTCTTAGTCTGGAAGCTCAGCTGAAACCTGTCCACCATGGGTGACCCTGCTAGTATTTGAAATACCAGCGGCATAGCTTCCAGCATCAGAGCAACACAAAAGCCACCACAGTATACAAAATGACAGACGCACTTGATAAAATGTAACAATTACTACTTCATTATTGGCCCTGGGAGTTTGATTGGGTCTAGAAGACCCTTCCAGGAGGTTTGCATTTTATCCTGCTGATTACGGGTCAGGTAGCGGGTGACTTGGGATGACTCCCTCCCACTGCCTTTGGTGAGCTCACAACAGCTGCCTTGGGGAGAGTGGGGTTGAGCCAGTGGGTGAGGGACACAAGGAAGAGGAACCAGTTTGGAGACTGCTGGAATAATCCAGAACAGCTCTCATGGACTTGTTGGCAGAAGCCTGTTTGGAGTGGGTTTAGGAGGGAATAGGAGGAGCGTTCATGGAGTCAGCAAGTATAGACAACTTATCAAAGGAAATTGCTAAAAAAGACCAAAGGAGCAGTAGCTGGTGGAGAATATGAGGACAGGAGAATGAGATTTTTTCTTTTAATGGGTGATACTAAAACTTAGAAATGATTCAGTAGAGAGGAAAATTAACTATTGGGAGAATGATCAGAGGGATAATCCCAAAAGTTGACAGCGATGAGAGTTAGTGTAAAAGCGGCAGGATTTGTCTCGGGTAACAGGGCGCTCGATCCCTCCCGCTACCCCTTTACCGATGAGATGATTTTCCAGAAGCCAGATGGCTGGAATATGGTGGAACGTGGGCTCGAACCAGGTACCCCGTGGCTTCGGTGGGTCCGCACTTTTCCCACCCCTGCTCGGCTGCACTCAGAACTGACAAACGCCGATGATCCAGGAAAGGGGGCGGGCCTGCGGAGCAGAGCCAAGGGAGGGGGCAGGACCTTTGCCGTCGCAGGGTTACACCATGGCTGGGGTGGAGCCTGGTCTAAAGCGAAGGGCGGGGCTTGTTTGGACTGCGATAACAGGGTAGAGCTCTGAAGAGACGACCCGTGACCGTCTACACCCTGGCCAAGTGGAACACGGGGTAGGGCTTGGGGAGCCCCGAAACCGACGGGCCTACAAACCGGGGCCAAATGAAGCCTGCGGGAGTGAGCCCGTGCAGCTTATAGCCTGAAACCGGGCAACTGCAAGACGCCGAGGAGCGTGACGTCTTAGCAAAGAAAGGTGTGAGGCCTACTGTTAAAGCTAGTGAAAAGACGCGGGAAGGCGGGACCTCTGCTCAAGGCGGCCAATAGAGACAGGGCTCTTACGGGAGGTGCCCGTGGGTACGGAGCGTGGCTCTGGAGCAGGGCTCCGGCTCTGCGCACGCGCACCCTGCAGCACTCCGGGGCGCTGTTGATCCAAGTGGGCCAAGGGACATTGCCGCAGGCTCTGTCACCGCCCCCTCATGCTGAGCGTCTGGGTCACGTGACGCCGAGGGCGCAGAGTCCTACTGGAGACAGCGCCATTTCCTGTAGGTAAAGGTTGAAGGGCCCTGGGCCCTGGCTGGCTGGCATCAGAGAAGCATTCTGGGGCGATTTGGCCCAGAATCTGGGCTTCGGGTCGGGGGTCGGGCTTGGGGGCTCGATGGGGGGAGGGGCGTGGCTTGAGGAGAGGGTCGCGTGCGCGCTAATCAGGAGGGCGTGGCCTCGCCCCGCGGTGACGTACCGTGGGGTGGGCTCACCCCTGTTGCCTGGCGTCAAAGAGAGGCGGGCTTTCCCGCCAATTCGTTGAAAAATAAGTAAGTGGAAAAATGAGTTTTGGGGTCGTTGTCGCCGTATTGGCCTGTGAGACACGGAGGATGGTGACCTGGTTTGAATGGCAGTGGTGACGTAAGGGTCTGGGGCTTTTTATCGTTTAAGAGGCGTGGCTTGGCCTCTAGGAGGCGTGGCTTGGTGGCTGGTAGTCGCGACCTGGATCCGGGGGCGTGGCCTCGGCTGGAGTCTAGATGCTAAAGGGGCGTGGCCGCTCAACCTCGTGACAAGGGGGCGTGGCCTGAGAGGGCTGCGAGAAGGGGCGTGCTTCTGTGTACGGTATCTGTCGCACCCAGGACCTGGCACTCTTCCTTCTTTCTTAGGTGCCTCCTCATGGAGCCCCCCACGGCCGCCGCCCCTGCCGGGAGCCTCATCCCCTCAATTCTGCTCCTGGCCAGTGGTACAGTGGTGGTTGCCCTTCTGGGCGCCGCGCACCACCTGGGGCTCTTCTACCAGCTGAGGCACAAGGTGCGGGGCACGTGGACGGGAGGCGGGCTGGAGGGATCCCTGGCACCCCTTCCAGCTCACCCATTTTACAGGCGGGGAAAGTGAGACCCGATTGGCCCGCAGGGACTAGCCAGTGGACTCTGCCCAGGACCTTGTCCCATTGCCACGCTGCACTAGGGAGAACCTGGATCTTTGCCTTGGAGAAGGGAGAACCGGGAAGCTGCAGCTGCCTGGCCCTCACTCCCCTCCCATCAGGGGCCAAGCGTCGTTCAGAGAGTGGATGACACCACTACCGTACTGCCTTCCAAACTTTGTGGGGTTGCAGTGGACAGACACCCAAGGGAAAGGCGGTGACAGTTTTGTGACTGTTCTCTTCTGCTAAGTTTCATGCTTTAGAGGGAGTTTCTGAGGTAGCCCAAACCACATCCCCGAAGTAGGTGCTGTTGTCATGGTCCCCCGTTTTCCAGCAAGGAAACTGAGGCCCAGAGAGGTCATGTGGTAGCTTGCTCTAGGTGACATGTTTGGGGAGAACTGGCCCCACAGTCATTGCTCTTAACTACTTGGCACCTCTCTCAGGAATTTATCCTTCTCCAGACCCCTCCCCAGCCCTTCCTTTCATAGCAATCAAGCAACATCAGCAGCCCTGAGGACTTGAGGGGGTTAAAAGCACAGGCCTTTGGGGTGTGTGGGGTGTGGAGCCGTGGCAGTTGGCAGCCAGTCAGCTGGGCCTGTGCCTGCCTTGCAGGGTGTGGGAGATGAGGGAGGGAAGGAGTCAGGCCACCAGGTTCTGCAGAGACACTGGTGGGCAGGTAGTTCTGGCGTCCCAAGCTGGTGGTTGAGCCCCTGCCCTGTGTCCTGGCCAAGCTCCCCAGGTCATCTAGATCCTTCCCGTCCTCTTGCTCAGGTTGCCCCACCATCCCTGAGGCAAGTAGTGTAACAGAGCAGAGCGCCGAAGAGCGTGGGTTTTAGCTGAGTGTCAGTCTTGCTTTCATTCCTTTCTAGCTGTGGCCTTGGGTAAACCTTGGTCTTCTGAGCTGTTCAAGGATATAGTGACGATCCCTTAGCTGAGGGCTCATGGGAGGGAGGGAGGAGATGATGAGATGACTGCCTGATCAACACTAAGCAACCCCTGACCCCGACCCTGCTCCCACCCTTCTTTCCAGGATGGTCTCACCCCTCCCGCATCTCCCCTGGTGCCATTGCCCTAGTCATTGACCTTCTTGCCTCTCCTCCTCCTGGGGCCCAGGTGGACAAGGCCAGTGTCCGGCATGGTGGGGAGAACGTGGCGGCCGTGCTGCGTGCCCACGGTGTGCGCTTCCTGTTCACGCTGGTCGGTGGGCACATCTCCCCGCTCCTGGTAGCCTGTGAGAAGCTGGGCATCCGCGTGGTGGACACGCGCCATGAGGTCACAGCTGTCTTTGCAGCTGATGCCGTGGCCCGCCTGACCGGTGAGAGTGGCAGGGTATGGGACGGGGCGGGTGTGACGGTGGAATGGGGTGTCTGGGATGGGGGCAGGGCTATGATGGTGCCTGTGTTTCAGGGACGGTGGGCGTAGCGGCGGTGACGGCAGGCCCTGGCCTCACCAACACTGTGACAGCGATAAAGAATGCCCAGATGGCTCAGTCCCCGGTCCTGCTCCTGGGAGGTGCCGCTAGCACCCTGCTGCAGGTGCCCAGCCCATAGGGGGCAGTGTGGGCCCCAGGGAGGCCTGGGGGGCTCATGTGCTGACGTCCTGACTCATCTTTGCCAGAACCGGGGGGCACTCCAGGCCATTGACCAGATGTCACTGTTCCGGCCACTCTGCAAGTTCTGTGCGTCTGTGCGGAGGGTGCGCGACATCGTGCCCACCCTGAGGGCTGCCATGGCCGCTGCCCAGTCGGGCACGCCGGGTAGGTGGTGGGGTCAGGTCCTGGGGGCTGGAGGCCTCAGGTGACACTGCAGGCTCAGCGTCCCCCTGTCCCGGCAGGCCCAGTGTTCGTGGAGCTGCCCGTTGATGTGCTGTACCCCTACTTCATGGTCCAGAAGGAGATGTTGCCCATCAAACCACCCAAGGGCCTCCTGGGTTGGGCGGTCACCTGGTGAGAACCCCTAGCTCACCACCCCTTCCCCGTCCCACACCCCTCAGGGAGAGCCCCTTCTATTGATTCAGGTGGGAAGGGAAATCCAAGTAGAGGGAGCAGCAAATGCATGGGCCCTAGGGTAGGGATGAACTTTGGGTTGGAAAAGCCAAGAGTCTGCTGTGTGGTGGGAGCAGGTGAGCAAGGGGCAGAGCAGAAGGGGATGAGCTCAGTGGCTGGCAGGGGCCACTGTCAGGACATGGGATTTTGTTTTTACGTCATGATGCCTGGAGAAGCATTGGAACAGCTGAAGCAGAGGCATAGGACTCCTGAATTTGGGTTTTGGTAATGTTCCCTGGGGCTGCTGTTGGAGAGTAGACTGTGGGTTGGGGGTGGGGGTAGGGACTGGAAGCCAGGAGAAGGTGTCAGGGACTGCAGGGCGAGAGGCAATGGTGGCCTGGTTCAGGGTGTGGGCTGTGGAGTGGAGAGGGTGGATGGATTGAATATAAGTGTCTGGAATTCTGTGAGGCCAGCATAAGGGGACAGTGGTCACAGTAGGTCCCTATAGACCGGCTGATTTCAGGCCCAAGTGACAAGGAACTTGGAGAGCTCAGGGCAGCGAGGCTGGCCTGGGACAAGCATGAAGGTCTTTCTGGAAAGCTGACAGTTTGAGGCAGGCTTCTTGCAGTTGGGGAGCCTGGGTGGAGCAAGCGGTTTGTGATCAGCTGCTAACCGAAAAGTTGGTGGTTTGAGTCCACCCAGAGGCGCCTTGGAAGAAAGGCCTGGTGATCTGCTTCCAGAAAGGTCACAGCCTTGAAAACCCTGTGGAGCACAGTTCTAATCCAGCACACATGGGGTGGCCAGGGGTTGGGGTTGACTCGACAGCAGCTGGTGTCTTTCAGTTGAGAGGGTAAATGGGGCATCCAGTAGGGGCATAGCCTGGACAGAGGTGTGCAGAAGGTGGGGTCAGTTTGGGGCACTACCAAGACAGGCCTAGGTGAAAAGGGCACAGGATGGAGATGCTTCTTTCTTCTTGCACCAGGATGGACACGAGACAGGCCAGCCCCTGCTCTCTGGGCATGTGCAGAGTGCCTCAAGGGCCAGGTCACTGAGTTGTTCTGTGGCCATGACAGCCTCATTCTTAAAACTCCCTACTCCCAGCCTCCTGGTTATTCCCCTCCCCTTGTCCTCCTCATCCTCTGCCAGGCCGGCTCTTCCCATACCTTTTTTAAAAAATGATGCTATTGGTGAAAACATAGATAAACTAACATGCCATCTCAACAGTTGCCACATGTGCAATTCAGTGACCTTGATTACATTCTTCAAGTTGTGCAACCGTTGTTGCTATCCTCTTCCAAATCGTTGTGCCACCATTAACATAAACTTGGTGCCCCCTAAGGAGAGTCTCTCCCTTTTGCTCTTCTTCCCACCTTGGCAACTACTAATGATCTTTGATTTGTATGTGTTTGTTAATTTCGTATAAGTGAGATCTTTTGTATCTGACTTATTTCACTCAACATAATGTTTTCAGGGTTCATCCATGTTGGAACATGTTTCAGAACTTCATTTCTCTATGGCTGAGAGTATTCCATTTTAGGGATGAACCACATTGTGTTTATCCATTCATCTGTTGTTGGACATTTTGGTTGTTTCTGCTTCCTGGGCCTTTTGTCTAAAGGTTGGGGTGTCTCTCAGCTTCATCTTTGATCTCCTCTCAGTCTCTGAAATCTTGACTCTTCTTTAAAAGGGAAAATGGAAGCTTCTGGCCCTGAACTCCAAAGGCTGCAGCCCACACTTCTGTTCTTGAACTGATTGCGTGTTCCTTGAGGGCAGGGGTGGGGCCAGATTTATCTTTGTGCCTCCAGGCCCTGCACAGGTCTGGTACAAAGTTGGTAACTAAACCAAACCAGTTGTTTTTGAGTCCGTTCCGACTCATGGCAGCCCCCACATATGTCACAGTAGGACTGTGCTCCACAGGGTTTTTAATGGCTGGATTTTGGGAAGCAAACTGATGGGCCTTTCTTCTGAGGCACCTCTGGGTGTACTCAAACCTCCAACTTTTTGGCTAGCAGCCAGGTGCATTCACTGTCTGCACTTCCCAGGGACTCCTGGTAACCAGCCTCTTTCTCCACCCTTCACAGGTACTTAGAGAATCACCTGGCCAACCTCTTTGCGGGGGCCTGGGAGCCTCAGCCAGAAGGGCCCCTGCCCTTGGACATTCCCCAAGCGGCCCCCCAGCAGGTGAGTCACCTGTCTTCCCTGGCCAAGGACCCCTGCTGGGCAGCATGGCCTTCCCCTGAATCAGTACTGGAGCCTTGATTGTGAGGGCCGATGGAGACTCAGGGATGGCCCTCTGATCCCCCTCTCGCCCCAGGTCCAGCGCTGCGTGGAGATCTTGAGCCGGGCCAAGAGGCCCCTGATAGTACTGGGGAGCCAGGCCCTGTTGCCCCCGACACCAGCTGACAAGCTTCGGTGAGAAGCCCCTGGCCCTGCCCTCGTTATCATCGCACTCTGTCCCTGGCTCCTCCGGTGCCCCGTGGGGAGGGGCTGGGCTCTTGGACACGCTGACACCTGCTCTGCTTGGACCCCCAGGGCCGCCGTTGAGACCCTGGGAGTCCCCTGCTTCCTGGGAGGCATGGCACGGGGGCTGCTGGGCCGCAACAACCCCCTCCATATCCGGCAGAACCGCAGTGCCGCTCTAAAGAAGGCCGATGTGGTCATCCTGGCAGGTGGGCTGGCTTCCTTCCCTCTCACTCTTCCCCCATCACATGGCACCCCTTACCCTGTGGGCCTGCCCCTCCTAGCCAGGGACTCCTTGCCACCTGCACCCCAGCCTTTCAATGGTTTGGTTTACCTAACAACCCTGAATCTGAAATCCAGGTTACTGTCTCCAGGCTGTGGTTGCGTTGTGACCCAGCTTTACAGAAAGGAGAATGGACGCATATTGGGCACCTCCTGTGTTTTCTACACATTGTCACATGAAGTGCTTTGAACCCTGCCAGAGACATGATAGGTGGATGTCTTAGTTCCCTAGAGCTGCTGTAACAGAAATACCACAAGTGGGTGACTGTAACAAACAGAAATTTATTTTCTCCCATTTCAGGAGGCTAGAAGTCCAAATTTAGGGTGCCAGCTCTAGGGGAAGGCTCCTGTCGGCTCTGGGGGAAAATCCTGGTTTCGGCTTCTCTAGCATTCTTGGTGTTGCTCGGTTCCTTGGCATTCTCCACACGGTGCCTCTCTTTCTCCCCTTTGTCCTTGATTTTCTCTGTCCGTAATCTGCTTTTTTAATATCTCAAAAGTGGTTAGGTTTAAGGCACACTCTATTCTGATATGGAGCCCTGGTAGCACAGTGGTTAAGAGCTCAGCTGCTAATCAAAAGATCAGTGGTTTGAATCCACCAGCTGGTCCTTTGAAACCCTATAGGGCAGTTCTACTCCATCCTGTAGGGTCGCTGCTATGAGTCAGAATCTACTCCACGGCAAGGATTTTTTTGGTTTATGCTGATACGACCCCGTTAACATAACAAAGAAAATCCTACCCCAGATGGGATTACATCCACAGGTATAGGGGTTAGGATTCCAAGATACATTTCTGGAGGATACAACTCAGTGTATAACAGTGTATCAGTTAGCTATTGCTGTGTAATAACCATCCCCTAGCCCAGTGTCTTAAAATTGCGTTGATTATTTCTCAAGACCCACCTATGGGTTGGCTGGGCAGTTCTCTTGGTTTCAGTTGGGCTCATTCATGTGTCTGCAGTCATTTGAGGCAGCCAGCTGGGGAAGCAGCTGTGCTGATCCATGCTGGGCTCATTCATACATTTGGGGGTCAGCTGGCTGCAGGCCTCAGTTGGAGTAACTGCAATCTCCTTACCGTGTTTCTCATCATCCACCAGTCTAGCTTGGGCTTATTCACTTGGTGGGGATGAGAAACACATGGGTCATTGGGGGAGCCCAGTTATTCTAGAGGGAGAGAGAGGAAGCTGCAAGGCTTTTTGTGGCCTAGTGTCAGGAACGGCATGCCGTCACCTCTGCCACATTCTGTTGCCCGAGGCATGTCACAAAGCCAGCCTAAAATCAATGCTAAAGGCAGGGATACAAGGAGGGGTGGAGAATGGGGCCCTTTCGCACTGGATCTACACAGTGGAATGGGTAAGAGTGAGCCCACCCCCAGGACCCTGGCCCTCTGTCCACTGAGGCCCTGTTTCCTCCCCCCGGCCCCTCCCCAGGAACTGTGTGCGACTTCCGCCTGTCCTACGGCCGTGTCCTCAGCCGCAGCAGCAAGATCATCGTTGCCAACCGTAACCGGGAAGAGATGCTGCTCAACTCGGACTTATTTTGGAAGCCCCAGGAAGCCGTGCAGGGTGAGCCCCCAAGTCTTCCCACTCATGCCTCCTCCTCCCACCTCCTCTTCTCCTGCTTGAGTTGGGTACTGGGGAGCAAGGCCCCACCCTTGTCAGGAGTAGCCAGTCTCGGATGGATGGGCACTTTTGTGTGAACAGACAGTGGGAGGTCTGGAAACATGGATGCCATTGTGTCCCTTGGCTGCCCCCTCCTGTGGCAGTCCACTGCTCCTTGAAAATGAAGAACTCATCCCTGGGTCCCTGAGGCCTCCTGCCCGGTCCCCAACCCCCATCTTTTAGCCTCACCCTTGGGGCCTTTCCTTGCCTTCTTTGCCCGTCATCTTGAGGATGTGACTCTCCCGCTCCTGTGGGTGGTACAGAAATGGCACGTTGGGGTTGTGTTTGGGAAGGTCTACTCTGGCAGCTGGTGGGGCAGGTGGGATGAAAGGGGGCCTAGCGGAAGCAGGGAGCCCAGGACAGAAATGATGATCCCTGGAGGAGGGACGGACAAGGACAAGAGACGCAACTTCCTTGATCCCCATTTGCTCTTTGACCAAGTGTGCGTGATGTGAAGCGTACTCCAGGCCATTTATCCATTTGTGAAATGTTCTCTGTGGGCCTCCATGCACCTGGCTTGTAGACATGTGCCTGATGGGTGCAGCTGTGTTTATTGACCTGTTTCAAGGCTGAATGGCCAGGCCCAGCGGCCTGGGTGGGAGGGGGTGGTGGACAGTGAGGCCAGCTTGCATTTCCCGTGGGCTTCTTGTTGTTAGTTGCCATAGAGCCAGCTCAGACTCATGGCAACCCCATGTGTGCAGAGTGGGAACGTGCTCCGTAGGGTTTTCAAGGCCATGACCTTTTGGAAACATTGCCAGGCCTGTCTTCTGAGGCACTTCTGGGTGGGTTCAAACCACCACACCTGAATCTCGCTCTCTGGCCTCACCTTCTCTCCCCTGGGCAGTCTCACCTGGCAGGTTTGGGGTGTTTCACCCGTTTGGCCCTGTTGGGAAACTGTCCCAGGGGTTTCCGGCCTACCACCACACCTCCTCAGATGTCACTGTCCTCAGTCCCTCCCCCCACCCCAGCCAGACCCTCTTATCCCTTCCCACAGGAGACGTGGCCTCTTTCATGCTGAAGCTGGGGGAGGGCCTGCGGGGCCACACATGGGGACCAGACTGGGTGGAGGAGCTTCGAGAAGCCGACCGGCAGAAGGAACAGACTTTCCGGTGGGGCTGGGTGGGGTGGAGATAGGGGTTCCAGTGGGTGTGGGGGTTCCTACTACTGCCTGCCACTGACCTGCATGCCTGGTTGCAGGGAGAAGGCGGCAAGGCCTGTGGCCCAGCACCTGAACCCGGTGTGGGTGCTACAGCTGGTGGATGAGACCCTGCCTGAGGACTCAGTCCTGGTAGTTGATGGTGGGGACTTTGTGGGCACTGCTGCCCACCTGGTGCGGCCTCGTGGGCCCTTGTGCTGGCTGGATCCTGGTAAGGAGGGGCCCATGCCCTGGGAGGCGTGTGCTCCTGGCCTCTTCACACTGACCTGCTCTTGGTCTTCCTAGGGGCCTTCGGGACGCTGGGGGTTGGTGCAGGGTTCGCGCTTGGGGCCAAGCTGTGCAGGCCGGACACCGAGGTGAGCTGGGGGCGCTTCAGGCGGGGGACTGGCTGCTCTCTGGGCTGTGGGCCCTACTCACTGCGCTCTGTCGCCCACCAGGTCTGGTGCCTGTTTGGGGATGGAGCCTTTGGCTACAGCCTCATTGAGTTTGACACCTTTGTCAGACACAAGGTGAGCGGGTTAAGGCTCCCTGCCCTGAGGGATGTTCAGGAAGACGTCGTCAGGGGTGGGGAGGGCACCCTTTGGTCTGGCAGAGGCACTGTCCCCCTCTGTCCTCTGGCTGAAGGCCATGGCTGGCCTTGTCTCCCCCTGCAGATCCCGGTGATCGCCTTGGTGGGGAACGACGCTGGCTGGACACAGATTTCCCGGGAACAGGTGCCCTCTCTGGGTAGCAACGTGGCCTGTGGCCTGGCCTACACGGGTGAGGGGCCGTGGAGAGGGAGGAAGGACCGTGGGGAAGGTGGAGGGGCCGTGGGTAGAAGGGAAGGACCTTGGGGAGCAGGGAGTGGGGAGGGGTGAAGGGCCCTGTGTAGGTTTGGGGGGCTGTGGGGAGGAGGGAGGGACCATGGGGAGTGGGAAGGGGTAAGGGGCCTTGAGGAGGGTGTAGGGCTGTGGTGAGGGTTAGGTGCTGCAGGTTGGTTTGAGGTGCCACAGGGAGAACAGGGTGCTGTGGGGAGGTTTGAGGGGCCACGAGGACGGTGAGGGTCCATGGGGAGGGTGGGAGGCTGTTTTCAGGCCCGGGCTGGCTGTACGGTGGGCTGGGTCCCTGCTGCCATCTGACTCGACCTCCCCCTGTAGATTATCACAAGGCAGCTATGGGTCTGGGGGCCCGGGGATTGCTGCTGTCTCGGGAGAATGAGGATCAGGTGGTCCAGGTGCTGCGTGAGGCCCAGCAGCAGTGCCAAGACGGCCACCCAGTCGTGGTTAACATCCTTATCGGGAAGACTGACTTCCGGGATGGCTCCATCGCTGTGTAGGGCCTTGTGGATTGGGACCCTTGGCTCCTTCCCACCCCTGGACTGTGTCCTGCTGGCCTCATCCTTGCCTGCTTCAGGCCCACCCTGTGACCCCAGTGACTCCTCAACCTCCCTGAGGACAGGGAGGGGCTGGAGGAGTCAGGGCCCAGGGAGGATCCCAGAAGTGCTGGGCAAATCTTAGGCCTTTTGCTTGGCTTCTTGGACTGAATAAACCATCTCTGGCCCTCGAGGGCGAGCCTGTGCATATTGATTTTATTGTCCACAAAGATGGAGGTGAGGGAAGGAGGTGGAGACAGGAGGGGGTCCTACTCTCCCACTGGAACTCTGGGGATTTCAGGGTACCTGTGCACTTCAAACTGTCCCCCCTCTGTGGTCCTTCAAAGAGCCCCACGTGCCCACACCACACACATCCATTCACACGCGTCCTCACACACAGACACACATGAAGGAGGCAATAAATAGTTTCCGTACCAAAGTGCCCCAGCCTGAGGCTTCAGGCAGGGCCCCTCCAGGAGGGAGGGGTTAAGTGCTCAGAGTTTTTTGGGAGATGGGGAAAGGGAGTTGGGGAGGGGAAGGGCCAAACTCTGCTATCTCCATTTGCTGGTCTGAGGCAACGTTGGGGTCTTCCCTGGAAAAGAAGGTGGGGAGGCCAGCTGTTTTTCCAAAAGCCCCAGAAAAACCAGTTGTCAAGCTGACTCCATCTCATGGTGACCCCATGGTGTGTCAGAGTAGAACTGTGCTCCACAGAGTTTTCAGTGGCTGATTCTTTGGAAGATCACTAGGCCTGTCTTCCCAGGCACCGCTGGGTGGACTCAAACTGCCAACCTTTCAGTTCGCAGCTGAGCACGTTAACAGTTTTTGCCACCCAGGGACACCCTAAAAGCTGGAGCCCAAGATAGGGGCTAGCCCTCCCAAAACACTACCCCATAATGGTCTTTGGGTTTTTCAAGGGCGGGAGAAGCAGAGTTCGGCCTTCAAAGCTAATACTGACTTGGCTGGCAGCAGCAAGAGGGCTGGCTGGTGTAGACTGGGGGTGTTTCACCTTTCCAGGGTGAAGCTCACAGTAACTGGTGTTTCCCCGAACAAGGGGAGGCAAGAGAGGCAGGCCTAGCAAGTGGCAGAACTGCCTTTTTGGCAACGAGAAGCCCTTGGTACTCAGGAAGGCTGGTCCCTAAAATCCCAGTACCCGGCCTTTGCAACCAGTGGCCGAGTACAAGCAACTCGGCACGGGAAATGGGGAAGGATTTTCAGCAAGGGACTGGCTGGTCCCCTGGCAACTCCCTAACAACCAGGATTTGGGCCTTGGCAACAGGTCTGGTCCTTGGTGATTAGGGCTCCGCCTTAGCAACCAGGAGGCTGGCCCTTAGCAACCGGGGTCCCGCCCCGCCTGGCTCAGAGGCACACGTTGATCTGCTTGGAGAGCTCTCTCTCCAGGTCCAGGATGAGGGCGTCGAAGTCTTTTAAATTCAGGTGCGGGTTGAAGGGCGCCTCGAAGTCGTCCTCGAAGTCGGTGGCGCCCCGCGGCCCGCCCGCCTCCTCGTCGTCGTCGTCCTCGCTGTCGCTGCCCGTCACGTGGTCGTAGTCCGGCCCCGACAGAAAGTCTCGCCCACAGGGCAGGAAGTCTCGCCCGCAGACGCTCCAGTCGCCGGCGTAGCGATTGCTTGGTGGGCTCTCGGGGCCTCCCCGGCCGCGGGGCCGGGTCACCACTTCGGGGCCCGCCAGCGGCAAGTGCAGTGGCGGCTGTCGCTTGGGCCGCAGGCACGGAGCGAGGTCCGAAGCCTCCGAGGGCCGCCGGGGATCTGTGGAGGAGAAAGGGCGGGCTCATGATGGCGTCACGCACAGCGGAGGCTATCTGTCCTCTGATTGGCTCCTGAGGCCACCAGGCCACTGATGGGCCAGTCGAAAGGCAACGCCTTCGACCGGATCAGGAGCTCATTGGCTGGGCCAGAACTGGTTGCTAAGGCAACCAGGCGTGTGATTGGTATGCCAAGAGGCAGGGCCTCTGACCGCATCAAGGATGGATTGGCCGAATGAGAAGTCGTTGCTGAGGCAACCGGGTACCAGTTTACCCTGACGAGGGGCCGTCGCCTGCCTCATATTTCAGACTTTGATTGGCCGCCCGAGAAGGCATCGCCGCGGCGACCTGGCCTGATTGGCGGAGCGGGCCGGGAGCGGGCTCACCTGGCCAGGACTGCAGCAGGTAATGCAGCACCTCGATGTGGCGCTTGAAGTCCACTGCGCTGGCAAGGCCCGGGCCGGAGCCACGGACGCGCGGCCGGGAGGGCCCCTGGCGCCCGGGCAGCAGCACTGGTCCGAAGCACACGGCCAAGTTCTGCGTCGTCATGCGGTTGTGGGTGTGGAAGGAGGAGACCAGGCGCAGGTGATCCAGGAGAAGTGTCAGCGTGGCCTGGGGAGAGGGTTGGAAGGGCATGAGGTAGGCAGAGCCAGACCTTCTGTTGTACCTGCGGGAGACTAAGGCTCACGGTGGGGAAACAGGTTCAAGGTCTCATAGCTGAGAGATGGCAGAGCCAAGACTGGAATCCAGGACTGGCTGTGGTAGGTATTAATACTATGATCCCATTTTGCTGGAGAGGAGACTGGGGCTGGAGGTAACTTAGCTTTGGAACTGGCAAAGCTTGGACCCGAACCCACTCCTCTGTGTATTAGGCAGGGCTAGCATTAGCCCCATTTTACAGATGAGAGTATTGAGGCACAGAGAAAGGCAAGACTTGTCCAGGATCCCACAGCCAGGAAACTTTCTGTGGCAGGTTGACTGACCCTAGTTCAGAGTCTAGGTTTTTGACACATCCCAGCTGTGTGACCTTGGGCAATCCGTTCAACTTCTCCGCGCCTCAGTTTCCACGTCTGTGAATTGGTGACACTAGGAGTTCCTAGGTGGTGCAAATGGTTAACACACTCACTGTTAACTGGAAGGTTGGAGGTTCAAGTCCACCCAGAGGCACCTCGGAAGAAAGGCCTGGTGATCTACTTCCAAAAAACCAGCCATTGAAAATCCCATTGAGCCCAAGGTCTACACTGACACACATGGGGTTGCCATGAGTCAGAGTTGACTTCTAGGCTTGTGATGCCGTGAGCTCATGCCCTATGCCCATGTGTCCTGCCCACCCCTGACAGGCCATCCTCACCCCAACTCACCCTCTCCACATCTGGCAGGCAGCTGAGGAGTCCTCTGGTGCCCTCAGGACTGGGGGGAGCCCGGGCTGCGGGCCCCCGGGCCATGGCCTCCAGCACCACCTGATAGAGGGGCTGGGTGATGAGCGGGGTGGGCAACTCCCGAAGATAATCCTTGAGGATGCCTGCAGACACACAGCACCCTCTGGTTAGGGTACCCCTGGCTCCTGAGGCCAGAAGGGTCACTTGAGACTAGGAGGGGGGAGGACGACAGGCTCAGGAGGGTGAAAGCAAATCCAGACAGAAGAGGGACAGCTTGGAGGTGAGGGGGCAAATCAGGCAGGGGGAGGAGCATACTGACCAGTAATGACATTGATATCGGGGTACAGGTCCTCGGAGAGGCAGACAGCTGCACTGTCTCGCTCAAAGGCATCCCGTAGCTCTTTTTTCACTGCCGCTGAGCCACACAGACGGTACAGCCCCACGACCTGGGGGTAGGGGCAGAGAGAGGGTGTCTCCTTGCTGTGGCCTAGTGGGGTAGGAGCCAGAGGGGCAGTGGACGCTGCGGGCTAGGAGGTTGGGGAATGGGCTGTAGTCCCATTGGCTGTCTTCCTACTCCTGACACCCATCGGGGTCCCTGCCTCAATGCCTGGACAACCTGGCTCATGGACACTGATTAGATCACTTGTCTGGAGCCCAGGAAACTCTAACTCCTCTGTCAGATCCCTTGTCACCTCCTCAGGGAAGTCTTCTGTGACTACCCCAAGCAGACCAGGTCCTGCTTTCAGCTCTCACAGCCTCAGCTAGCTGCCCTCCTTAACTCTCCTCCTAGCTGCAGTTTTTTTTATGTTTGTGAGTTAATGGACTCGTGTTTTTCCCCCATCAGACTCTGAGCTCCAGGAGGGCTAGGATGCTGTGTTATTAAAAGGGTGATGACCCAGAGGGTTCCAGGCTGGTGCTATGGTCTGGAGGCCCTCTGTGCCTGTGAAGGCTGGGATGGGAGCTAGGAATGGCCCAGGCTGGGAGCCAGGCTGGTCATCCTGAGGTCTGGGGGCAGTAGGGTGGTGGTGGGCTCACCCGCAGCCCACGGCGCTCGATCTGCCCCACGCACTTCTGGATGATGAGGGGCACCTGGCCAGGAGGCTGCTCCCGCTCCACCAACAGGGGCAGAGGCAGCCCAAAGACGCGGGGCTCAGCTGTGCCTGGGGCTTCCTGCTGCTCTGACAGGGTCAGCTTCGCATACAGCAGCCCCTGGGGCTCCAGGCGAACGGCCAGCTGCTGGGCCTGGCACCCTGGGAATGAAAAGAGGCCTGAGCTGGGTCTGGGCCGTGCAGGCCTTTGTACCCTGGCCCCCATACTCCCACTCATCCCTTCACCCCAGGCCTAGCATCTGGGGGACTCCTGGGAGTGGGGGGAGCCCTGAGTTAGGGCTGCCCCTGCAGGCTCCTGTGCCTTGGGCCCCATATCCATACCCATCCCCCTACCCTGGGCCCAGAACCCTGGGGACTCCTGGGAGGGGGGAAGGCCTGAGTTGGGGCTGCAGAGACTGCAGGATCCTGTGCCCTGGGTCCCCTACTCCAAGCCACCTCCACCCTAGGCCCTTACATACCCTGTGGACTCTGAGGGGGAGTAATCCTGAGATGGTTCTACCCCTGCAGATTTCTGGACCCTGGCTCCTATACCCCCACCCATCTCCCTACCCTGGGCTCAGCACCCTGGGTACTCCTGGGAGTGGGAGGGGGGATCCCTGAGCTGCGTCTGTCCCCTCACCCCCGCCCCGGATCTAGTGCCCTAATCCACTCCACCCCCCACCCCACTGCAGCCCATGCTTACCGCGGAATACCATGGGCAGCAGCACGGTCCCCTGGGCACAGGGCCGGTGCCGCCGCACGCCAGGGTCCCAGGCCAGCACCAGCGCCCGCAGAAGCCGGGAGGCCTCGAGCTCCAGGTGGAAAGTATGGTCCAGCCGTAGGAAATCCGGACCGCCGCGCAGCGGCCCCGTGCGCGCCCGGGCCACCCCGTCCACCTGCAGAAGGCAACAGAGATCCCGCGGGGGCGCTCCGGGTGCCAGCCGCAGCCCCCCGAGCCCGTACAGGTGCAGGCTCAGACGGCCCCAGAGCGCGGGCGGGGGCGCGCGGGCCGCAGGGCCCGCTTCGTAGGGCCGGAAGGCGGTGGGTGACGGGGGCCCTGCCGCACGCTCAGGCGAGTCGCCGTCGCTCAGATAGCCGGCCCGGGGCCCCCGCGCGACCCCGGTCCCTGCTGCGCGCCCAGGGGCCCCCACGCTGCTGTCCAGGTGGTAGCGGCTGATGACCGAGCCCGCGGGGGCAGCCCTGTCGCGCTCGCGGCCGCCCCGGGGGCCCCGCAAGCTCAGGCGGCGGCGCAGCTCCGGCAGTTTCTTCATTTTCAGGGACAGGCGCCGCGCGGGGCCTGGGGACTTGGTGCGCGAGGCCTTGGCCGGGGGCGGCGGCGGGTGCTCGCCGTCCAGCTCCCCCGCGCCTGGCTGCTTCCCCACGCGCGCCGGCGGCCGAGGGTCTTCCTCGGGGATGGGGTTGTACCAGATCTCGCCGGCCGGCTCCCCGCTGCTCGGCACCCCGAGCCCCAGCGCGGCTTCCTCCTGAGGCTTTGCCCCGCCCAGCACCCAGCGGCGGCTGCTGGACTCCAGGCTCTGCAGGTAGGCCCCCCGCGCGGGGCTCCGAGAGGCCTCGGGGCTGGGGGGCCCCTCTGCACCCACCGGGCACCCTTCTGGGGCCTGGGGCTCTGGCTCGGGGATGCTGGGCTCTACGGGCTGGGCTGGACGACCTGGTGGAGAGCAAGGAGATGGGACTCAGTGTCCTCGAAACCTCCAGCACCCAGCTGCCCCTGGCTGCCTGTGGCCACCTCCAGCCACTTCCAGACTAATGCCAGCCCACGGCTCTTTCCCCAGCTTTTGCCAGAGCTGGGGTACGCTTAACACCTACATCCACTAGAAGACTGTTGGACAGCTGAGAGCCAGCCCTGGCTCATTGTGTGGCTTTGGACGGGTCACTGCCTCCTGAGGCCTGGTGCTTTGTCTGGGATGGGTGGCCGGCCAAGGATCTCAGCAGTTGCCATCTTAGAGCGCACCCCCTCTCAGGCCCTGGCGTCCAAGCGGGGACTCGACACCTTCCAGCTTTGGGGTCTGGGTTGGTTTCTCAGGGCCCTGTTTCCATGTCCCTGCCCCTCTCATTAGCCCTTGCCCCTCCACCCCCGGTGGCCTTGGGCACTTCATTTCCCCTCCCTGAGCCTCCATGTCCTGTAAAATGGGGGATGTGAGGCCACCCACCAAGGAGTGTCCGGAGAGCAGGAAGTACCTACTCTGCACCTTGTCACAGTCAAGCACATAGTGGACACTCACTTGGGGACAGGTGCTGGCATCAGGGTGAGGCTGAGCTCTCCCTTCCCTGCAGGCTCCCCACCCCCACCCCCCACCCCAAGGGGCCTGTCTTCCAAACTCTGCCCTCATCCTGGGGCAGGCCCTGCTCCTCAACCCAGGCCAGATCCCGGCTGTCAATGTCGGGAAGCCTCCCCTTTGCTCCTTCCTCCCCCTCGGACATCCGAGGCAATTTCCTGTGTATATGTGTATGTGCAACACTGTCCCCTCTCCCTGCCCTGGGAACCTGGGAATTTTGGGGAATGGCTGTGGAGGGTCAGATCCGTGGAACTGTCTGCCCTCCCTCCCCCTCCTTCCCATGCAGCTTATGTTTCGCTAAAGTCGTGTCTGGCTTGTCTGCTGACCCCTCCTCCGGTCGCCCGATTTACACCCACAGGGCTCTGTCTTGGGGGTCCCTACAAGTAGCATGGTCCAAGGAGTCTGTTAAGTTACTTCACTGGCCCCGGGCTAATTACCCAACTGCCTGGTGACTCAGTTTCTCTATCTGTATAAGGGGGAGAATGTCCCGGGGCTGCGGAAGACCGCTGAAGCCCCTGCCAAGCTGCCGCAGTCCCTGGTCAGTGAACGGGATCAAGTGGGGTGGGATGCCTGTCCTCTCCCCATCTCCCCTTCTCCGGCCACAAAGGGCCCCAGCGCCTCAGCCTCCTAGCCCCTCCTCCCCTCCAGGCGCTCTGTCCCAGCCCCATTTCCTGTCAGGGGCGAGGCCCCCTCCCGGGCCTCCCAAGGCGCCCGCAGCGCTGGTATCCCGGGCCCGCGGCACATAACGGTCTGCGCCACCCACCACCTCGTCCTAGCCCCTTCCTTCCAGGACCCCGGCACCGGGGGCTCCAGGCCTGGTCCCCACCCGCACCCTCAGGGGCCACCGCAGGGCGCCCCCTGTCCCCTCGACTGCTTCTCCTCGGGGCCCCAGGAACCCCTCCCAGGCCAGGCAGGGCGCGCGCCCCCAAACCCCCAGCGCCCCGCTCACCGCGCTCCTTCGCGTCTGACTTTTTCCGGGGCAGTTTCTCCCGGCCCCGCAGGCGGGAGAAGGTTTTCCTGAGCAGCGGCTCGGCCATGCTGGGGCCCGGGCCGGGCCGAGTGCGCGCCCGGTCCGGCCGCGCCGCCCCCCGTAGCCCGCCCGCCCCGCCCCGGCCTCTCGCCAGCCCCTCGCCCCGCGGCAGCAGGAAGCACATTCCGGGAATGCTTGGCCCAAACTTTTTTTTTTTTTTTCCCGCGGCCTGAGCGGGCGGTGCTGGGAGATGTAGTCGCTGGGGCCGGGAGGGCACGGGGTGGGGGCTCCGGGCGGCTTTCCTGTGCTTCGACCCTGAATGTCGTGGCGCAGCCCGGGCCTCTCGTCTTCCCTCTTACCCACCCGCCACTGGTGAGCGCATCCAGCACTTTCTCTTGGGTCTCCTTCCAAAACGCATTCTGCATGTACCGCCCCCACCCCTCACTTGCCATCTAGTGCTTCATCCAGGGCCAAACCCTGGCATCATTCCCTTCGATGTCCTCCAGCCTCTTCTGTGGTCTCCCGGATGCCACTCTTGCGCCCCCACCCCATTCCAGTTACTACTGCTGTGTAAACTTAGTGGGTAAAACAGCCATTTCATTATGCTTCTAGAGGCTGGGGCTCAGGAATTTGGACAGGGCGCAGCTGACATTACGTGTCTCTATTTCATGACATCTGGGCCTGTGGTTAGGGGCAACTTGACAAATGAGGGGCCTGAATCACCTGAAGGCATCTTCACTTAAATGTCTGGTGATTGACTCTGGTTTGGATCTCTGCTGGGCCTGTGGCACCCACGCATGGCCCCTCCATGTGGCTTCGGCTTCTTAGACTTCTTAGCTGTCACTACCTGTATAAAATACCTGTTGCTGTTGAGTCGATTCTGACTAATAGCGACCATGCAGGACAGAGTAGAACTGCCCCATAGGGTTTCCAAGGAGCGGCTGGTGTATTCCAACTGACAACCTTTTGGTTAGCAGCCGAACTCTTAACCACTGTGCCACCAGGGCTCCACTACACTGTCACTAGGGCTCCAAAAGCAAACAAGGCAGAAGCTGCATTCCCTTTTCTGACATAGACTTGGGGTTCACATCTGGCACCAGATTCAAGAGGAGGGGACATAGACCTCACTTCTCTCAGTGGGAGGCATGTCAGGATCACAAGAAGATGTGGGGTGGAAGATATTGTTGTGTCCATTTTGGAAAATATAACCTACCTGTCTTAGTTAACTAGTGCTGCTATAACAGAAATACCACAAGTGGATGGCTTTAATGAAGAGGAATTTATTCTTTCACAATCTGGTAGGCTAGAAGTCCAAATTCAGGGTGTCAGCTCCAGGCAAAGGCTTTCTCTCTCTGTTGGCTCAAGAGGAAGATCCTTGTCATCAATCTTCCCCTGGACTAGGAGCTTCTCAGTGCAGGCACCCTGGGTTCAAAGGACATGCTCTGCTCCTGGCACTACTTTCTTGGTGGTAAGAAGTCCCCCTGTCTCTCTGTTGTAGCTCAAAAGAGATTGACTCAAGATACTTAATCTTGTAAATTGAGTCCTGCGTCGTTAACATAACTGCCTTAATCCTGCCTCGTTAACATCATACAGGCAGGATTTACAACACATAGGAAAATCACATCAGCCTAGCCAAGCTGACACACATTTTTTTGGGATACAATTCAATGCATAACACTAACTTACTCCTGCATTCCATTTTCTGCACAGAACCCAGAGTGGACTTCAAAAGCTGAAATTATGGCACACTCCTGATGGACAATCTTCCCATGACTACTCACCCCACCTAGAATAAAATTCCCACAGTGGCCTATAAGGCACCATGGACTCCTTTCCATTCTTCCTTCATATCAAACTGCTCATGCCCCAGGCCATTTGTACAAGCAGTTCCCCAAGACTGGGACGCTCTGGTTCTCCTAAGACTGCTTCTTTCTCATCCTTTAGATCCAGTGATACCTCCTTGGAAAGCCCTCCCTGACCACCCACTGCTGTCCAGTCTTTATTACATCACTCTGTTTTCTTGGTTTTAACACTTGACACAGTTTGAAATGAACCGTGTCAATGGTTTGTTCTAGCTTTTCTGTCTCCTCCATCCCAGGACTTCATCATGAGATAATGCTGGTCTGACTTGTTCACCACTGAAGGTTCAGGTGGGAGACCAGGTGCGAGGTGGTGGAGGCCTGGATGGGGAGTGGGGGTAGCCAAGAGACCTGGAGAGAGGAGGTTGTATGTGTTTGGTTATTATGTGTCTTGGAACGGATCTCCTTGAGTTTATCCTACTTGGAGTTGGTTGAGCTTCTTGAATGTGTTGTCATTAGCTGTTGTCGAGTTGGCTCCTGACTCCCGATAACCCTATGCACGATAGAATGAAATGTTGCCCAGTCCTGCACCATCTCCATGATTGGTTGCTGATTGGACCATTGCGATCCATAGGGTTTCCACTGGCTGGTTTTCGGAAGTAGATCACCAGGCCTTTCTTCCTAATCAGTCTTAGTCTGGAAGCTCCACTGAAACCTGTCCAACATCATAGCAACATGCATGTTTTTCATCAGATCTGGGAAGCTTCCAGCCATTATTTCTTCAAATATTCTTTCTGCCCCTTTCTCTCTCTTATCTTCTTCTGGGATTCCCATTATGCCTATGTTGGTATGCTTGATGGTTTCCCCGAGGTCTTTTAAGCTCTGTTCATTTTTCTTGGTTGTGTGTGTCTTTGGGAGAAGTTAGGCTGCAGAGGGGTGGGGCACACTCTTCTCCCTCCCCATCAGATCCCTGCCCAGAGCCTTAGAGGCCAAGGATCAGGCAACACCTCTTCACAAGTCCAGGGCAGGGGCTCTGTTCAAGCCTCAAGACAGGGATCACATTGGGGTACAGAGACTCAGAGGAATGGGAGCCAGTGTGGGAGTGGATGTGAGAACAACCCTTGGCCTCACCCCTATCTCATCAAATGATTCAAAAACACCATATCCCACATGGCACATAAATATAATTTTTTTTGGTAAATCCTTTTGAAAGTGTTTCTGTACTTTTGCATTTTTATGGCCACATGTGGGTCCTGAATTCACATTATTGTTAGCTGCTGTCAAGTCAGCCTCCACATCATGCTGACCCCATGCTCAACAAAAATGAAATGCTGCCTGGTCCTGTGCCTTACCAATCAATGATCGGTTGCAGATTGGACCATTGTGATCCATAGGGTTTTCATTGGATGATTTCCAGAAGTAGATCAGTAGGCCTTTCTTCCTCCTCCGTCTTAGTCTGGTAGCTTTGCTGAGATCTGTTCAGCATCATAGAAACACACAAGCCTCCACTGACAGACGAGTGGTGGCTGTGCATGAGGTTCATTGGCTAGAAATTAAACCCGTGTCTCCTGCATGGAAGGTGAGAAGTTTACTGCTGAGCCACCACTGCCCCCATTGAATTCATAGTTAGCTATTATTCTTTCTCAGCATCATATATATAAAACAAAAAAAAACCAAAAAAACAAAAAACAAACCTGTTGCCATTGAGTCGATTCCAACTCATAGTGACCCTATAGGACAGAGCAGAACCACCCCATAGAGTTTCCAAGGAGTGCCTAGCGGATTTGAACTGCTGACCTTTTGGTTAGCAGCCATAGCTCTTAACCACTACGGCATCAGGGTTTCCATCATATATATATAGTACTCAGAAAATTCTTGGTAAGTGAGAACAAATTATCTATAAATTGTATATTATAAAAGCTAAATTTAATGCTTGATGAAGTTTGTACGGTAATTCACTTGGATTTTGCTTGTTGCTGTTCAGATTTTGGGTTATGTTCATGAATACTCACATGCATTTTCTCCCCCCATCCACAAACATTGTTATTCGTTTCCAAAAAGCTGCAGGTCTGTGGAGCCTGATGGATAAATGAGTTCCTGGAAGACACAAGGGTTTTTTTGAAAGGAAACATACAGGTGGAGGGGGCTGGTGAGGTGTGAGCAAATCTTTGCACCTCTGTGGCAGACACTGGGAGTTTGTGGATCAATACCCCAGCTCCCTTGCCCCTCATGTGGAAGAGCTCTGAGGTGCATATTCTGTGTTGATCCCCAGGTGTCCCCATGGGATTGAGCTCCAGCTGCCCACAGTGGAAACTTGCTTATCAACACTCTTTACTGACTTCCTTCCCTTCCCTGTCTCACTTGTGGTGTTTCCTGGGATCTCCTCCATAATAAACTACTTGCATGTGAATCCTTGTCTCAGGGACAGCTTCTGGGGGAGCCCAGATAAAGATATTCTCTCTAGGCCTATTTCCTCATCCATCCAAAGGGAAGAATAACTCCTGCTGTTATCAGGGCTATGGGGGTGTCTTAGGCTGTGTTCTCTAGAGAAGCAAAACTAGTGAAGAGTATAAATGTAAATATATATATATATATATATAAAGAGATTTATATCAAGGAAACGGCTCACACGATTGTAGAGGTTGGAACATCCCATGTCCGTGGATCAGGATAGAGGCTTCTCTCGATTCACGTAGCTGCTAGAAAACCCCAGATCGGCAGGTCGGAGAGCAGGGCTCCCACTCACAGGCTGTGAAGATCAACGAATCCAAGATTGGCAGATAAGCTGATAGCTCAAGTCCCAAGAACCGGAGGTCAGAAGAACAGGAGGCAGCTGCAGGATCCAGAGCAAGCAAAAAGTCAGAAGGTCTGCTTATATTTGGATGTAGGCCACTCCCCTAAGGAAACTCCCTTTCAACTGATTGGCTACTCACAGAAAATTCCATCATGGGAGTGATCACATATAAACACTGAGAATCATGGCCCAGCCAAGTTGACACACAATCTTAACCATCACAGGGGATGTGGGTCAAGGGCTAGTCACTTGTACATGTGCAGGGTGTGGACAGCCCAAGCCTGCTGAGTTAACCCTTTACAGCACAAGCTGAGATCCACAGTGCACGAGGATAAGAGGGGAGATAGGTCTCAGTGGCTCCCACCTTGAGGAGACATTCCAGTTCCTAAGCCTGAGTTGGAATGGGATAGACCCTCTACCCCACTGCCACCTCCAACCCCACCCCCAGATAGAGTGGAATCTATAGAGATGCCCTGGAATAGGATGAAGGACTGAAGGAACTCCCTGCCTCCTGCCTTTTCCCCTCCTTCCCTCTCCGTGGCCAGGAGTACCGGGGTGGTTCTCCCTGGGCCTTAGATGTGGGGGATGGAAAGCACAAGGCCTAGAATGGCATAGCCTCTGGGGGAGACTTAGGAATTCCTAGGAATGAGGCCCCAACGCTGGGTGTTGCCTGTTGCCTCACAGTCCTGTCCACCTGGCCTTCTCCTCTCAGCCCTATTCATTCCCAGGAGCCCTTTTTCCAGCAGCCAGGAATGACAGCCTCAGTGCCATTTATGGGAGGGGCTCGGTGAAGAAGCCCCCAAGTCTGAGAGCAGACTCGCTACTGAAATGGGGGTGGTAACAGAGGGAGGGTGGACGAAGCAGGGGCTCACACACATCTCATCCCCCCAAGACTGCTGCACCCTGGACTTCTTGGGGAAGAGGCTCTGGGGCAGTGAATCCTGCCCTGCACGGCCCCAGGGACCCAGTGTCATGGCCTGCTGCTCTCCTCTCACTGGGAACCATCAAGTGTGAGTGCTGGCGGTGGGGGTGGGGTACATTAAAGGACTAACTCAGCAGGCCTGGGTTGTCCACACCCTGCACATTCCAAACAAAGGTCTGGCCCTTGACCAGGTCCTGGGAGGTGACCTCTGAGCCCTTGGAATGGCCTGTCTGATAAGAGTATCTGTTTACCTGTGGCCTTGGGCCACCCCAGAGAGTATATGGCAACAATGGGATTCATGGTGGGGGACTTGAGTCATACTGGATAGTCTGTGCTAACAACAGGATTCATGATGGGGGCCTTGGGCCACCCCAGATAGTCTGTGCTGACAATGGGATTCATAGGGAGGGTCCTGGGCCATGCTAGATGGTCTATGCTGACAATGGGATTTATGGTAGGGCCCTTGGGCCATCCCAGTAGTCTATGCCAGCATGGAATTCATGGTGGAGGCCTTAGACCATGCCAAATAGGCTGTGCTGAAAATGGGATTCTAATGGGGGCCTTGGGCCACCTTAGATGGTCTATGCCAACAATGGGATTTATGATGGGGCCCACATGCCACCCTAGATGGCTTATGTTAACAATGGAATTTATGGTGGGGGTCTTGGGCCACACTGGATGGTCTATGCTGACGGTGGGATTTATGGTGGGTGCCTTGGGCCTTGCCAGATAATCTCTGCTAACAATGGGATTTATGGTGTGGGTCGTTGGCCACATGGTACCAGTTCAACCTCAGAATGGGTTGGAGACTGAGTTCAGCCATGCGGGTGATCAGGCACACCTACATGACCAACCCCCAGTAAAAACTCTGGACACTAGGGCTCGGGGGAGCTCCCTGGTGGGCAATATCTTGTGTGCATTGTCACATATCGATACTGGGAGAAGTAAGCGCTGTCCACGACACCACTGGGAAAACACACCTGGACGCTCATGCTGTTCTTTCCTGGACCATGCCCCAGGCGCCTCTTCCTTTGACTGATTTTAGTCTATGTCCTTTTGCTGCAATAAACCATAACCATGAGTATAATGGCTTTTCTGAGTTCTGTGAAGTCCTCCTAGTGAAATCAAACCTAAGACTGGTCTTGGGGACCGCTTACCTCATAGGTTCACAGAGATAGAAGCGCCTCCAGAGTCCCCAGGCAATGGACATTGGGAGTAAGAGCTCCCCCCGCTGGGACCTCCAGCCCAATCTTTAGTGACCCTTAGTGACTTTCTGGCCACTTCTCCAGCTCGTCCATCTTTAGCCCTTCACATCTCGTGTGGCAAATTTGTTCCCTCCTCCAGGGACAAGTCTTGAGCTCTTCCAAGCACAGCATGACTCTGAGCATGTCAACTACCTGGGAGGCTGTCCAGCATCGTGATGGAGGGAGAGGTCAGACTTAGGGTCACACCAGCTGGCTGGAATCCCCCCCTGCCAGTCCAGTGTGTGTCCTTGGAAAGTCACTTTTCCTCACTGAGCCTTGGTGTCCAAATCTCTAAAATTGCTTTGAGTCAACCAGTAAAATCCTGCACTAACAATAAGAAGAATTCTTGTACTCTAATACTGTCCAGGATCGCTCTGAGGTGTGGAACTCCCTTGCAGTAAACAATTTGGCCTTTTGTCCTGATTCCTGAGAGCCTGACTACACCTGAGGCCAATGAGTGGGTGCTGACCAGACAAAGAGGGACTGCTCGGGGGCCTGATGCTCACTAAGCCTCAGGAGGTGTGATGTAATCTATCCTGGCCATGTGGTGAGGCTGATAAAGGCCTTAGAAGACCGACTTAGTGGAGTTTCTGGGATGGTGACAGCAAACGTCTGCGCTCGGGAGGGTAAGCGACGTAGAAGCTCTGCGCTGGATCTTGCCCTAGGTGTTTCCATCTTTTTTCCATCCAGATTAAAGATAGCCTTTTCCCCGGAGTTGAGTCACTCCATCCAGTTGTCTGACCTGAGAAATAGAGAAGGGGCCCATGCCCACTGACCTGGCCCTGGGTGAATGAAGATGAGAGAGAGAAGGGGCTGATGCCCACTGGCCTGACCACAGGTGAAGGAGATGAGAGAGGGAAGGGGCCAGTGCCCACTGACCTGGCCCTGGGTGAAGGAGGATAAGAGAGAGAAGGGGCCAGTACCTGCTCACATGGCCCTGGGTGAATGAGGATGAGAGAGGGAAGGGGCCGGTGCCCGCTGGCCTGACCCCAGGTGAACGGAAATGAGAAAGGGCTGCACTGGCTACTGGGGTCTGCACTGACCAGGGAAAGGAAGCTGAGATTTCCACTGGACGCAGCTGACATGTAGATTTATCATCACCACACCTTTGGTGTCAGAGGTGGATGATCTGAGCCTCTCTGGTCTGGTTTGTACAACTGGTGACAAAGGTGGAATCGGCCACTTGGTTCTGACCATACCATCAGTCTCCTCCTTCAGAGATTTTGATATTTTTGAGAATCCTGGAATTGTATTTGCGTGTTGTTATTGTTGTGTGCCCTCAAGTTTATTTTTCACTCAGAGCGACCTCTCTTGGTTATCTAGTGCTGCTATAACAAAAATATCACAAGTGGATGGCTTCAACAAACAGAAGTTTATTCTCTCAAGTCTAGTAGGCTAGAAATCCAACAGGGCGTCAGCTCCAGGGGAAGATTTTTCTCTCTTTGTGGGCTCTGGAGGGAGGTCCTTGTCATCAATCTTCCCCTGGACTCGGAGATTCTCTGTGCAGGAATCCTGAGTCCAAAGGACAAACTTTGCTCCTGGCACTGCTTTCTTGGTGGTACGAGGTCTCCCTGTCTCTCTGCTCGCTTCTCTCTTTTATATCTCAAAAGGGATTGGCTTAAGACACAATCTAATCTTCTAGATCTCATCAATAATAACCGCAACTAATCTATCTCATTAACATCATAGTTATAGAATTTACAACACATAAGAAAATCACATCTGATGACAAAATGGTGGACAATCACACAATACTGGGAATCATGGCCTAGCCAAATTGATGTATATATTTTTTGGGGACACAATTCAATCCATGACATGACCCCATGTGACAGGGTAGAACTTCCCCATAAGGTTTTCTAGGCTGTAATCTTTACAAGGAGCAGATTGCCAGATTTTTTCCCTGATGAGCTGCGGGGTGAGTTGGAACTGCCAACCTTTTGGTTAGTAGCCGAGCTCTTAACCATTGTACCACCAGGGCACCTAAAAACCAAACCCGTTGCCCTCATCTCCATTCTGACTCATGGAAACCTTATGTGTTTCAGAGTAGAACTGCTCCATTGGGTTTTCTTGACTGTGACTTTTTGGAAGCAGATTGCCAGGCTTTTCTTCTGAGGCATCTCTGGGTGGGTTTGAACAGGCAACCTTTTGGTTAGTAGCTGAGCCCTTCACTGTTTGCACCACTTAGGGACTCCTGCTTTTGCTGAATTAAATACCTCCACAGAAAGCTTGACATTCCTGCCCTCTAGGAGGAGGCATCTGGCCTCTGTCCTTAATTTCTGCAGAAAACCACCACAATAGGCACCTGGGGGTGGAGCAGGCTTTCCTGAGGGTTGGGAGAGTCGGAGGGTTTACATTGCAAACTGCAGCAACTTAGCCTCGGCTATTAGATACCTCTGTTCCAACCCAGCCTACCTTGGCCACCCCATCTGGCCTCTTAGAGTCTCACCATCACACTGCCTCCTTATTCATTCATTCATTTACTCAGCAAATATATTTGGAGTGGCTACTCTGTGTTGCAAATGGATGCAGCACTGGAAGTGCTCACTTGTCTATGCCAAGAAATTTGGAAGACGGCTAGCTGGCCAACCGACTGGAAGAGATCCATATTTATGCCTATTCCAAAGAAAGGTGATCCAGCCGAATGTGGAAATTATCGAACAATATCATTAATATCACATGCCAGTAAAATTTTGCTGAAGATCATTCAAAAGCGGTTGCCGCAGTACGTCAGGAGGGAACTGCCAGAAATTCAAGCCAGATTCAGAAGAAGGTATGGAACAAAGGATATCATTGTTGATGTCAGGTGGATCCTGGCTGAAAGAGAATACCAGAAAGATGTTTACTTGAGTTTTATTGACTATGTAAAGGCATTCAACTGTCTGGATCATAAAAAATTATGGGTAACATTGCAAAGAATGGGAATTCCAGAACACTTCATTGTGCTCTTCAGGAACCTGTACTTAGACCAAGAAGTGCTCGTTTGAACAGCACAAGCGGATACTGCGTGGTTTAAGGTTAAGAAAGGTGTGCATCAGGGTTGTATCCTTTCACCATGTTTATTCAATCTGTATGCTGAACAAATAATCCGAGAAGCTCAACTATATGAAGAAGAAGGAAGCATCAGGATTGGAGGAAGACTCATTAGCAACCTGCGATATGCAGATGACACAACATTTCTTGCTGAAAGTGAAGAAGACTTGAAATACTTACTGATGAAGATGAAAGACCACAGCCTTCAGTATGGATTACACCTCCATATAAAGAAAACAAAAATCCTCACAACTGGACCAATAAGCAACATCATGATAAATGGAGAAAATATTGAAGTTGTCAAGGATTTCGTTTTACTTGGATCCACAATCAACACCCACAGAAGCAACAGTCAAGAAATCAAATAACGTATTGCATTGGGCAAATCTGCTGCAAAAGACCTCCTTAAAGTGTTAAAAAGCAAAGATGTCACCTTGAAGACTAAGGTGTACCTGACCCAAGCCATCGTGTTTTCAATCGCCTCATATGCATGCAAAAGCTGGATGATGAATAAGGAAGACTGAAGAAGAATCGATGCCTTTGAATTGTGGTGTTGGCGAACGATACTGAATATACCATCAATTGCCAATAGAATGAACAAATCTGTCTTGGAAGAAGAACAACGAGAATGTCCCTTAGAAGCAAGGATGGCGAGACTACATCTCATATACTTTGGACATGTTACAGGAGGGATCAGTCCCTGGAGAAGGACATCATGTTTGGTACAGTAGAGGGTTGGTGGAAAAGAGGAAGACCCTCAACAAGATGGATTGACACAGTGGCTGCAACAATGGGCTCAAGCATAGCAATGATTGTGAGGATGGCGCAGGACCAGGCAGTGTTTCATTCTGTGGTGCATGGGGTCGCTATGAGTTGGAACCAACTCAACAGCACCTAACAACGACAACTCTGTGCCAGGAACTGTACAAAGCATGGGGCACACAGAGTTGGGCAAGAGAAACAAGATAATACGGTCTCAGTCTCTAACCCTCTGAATTCTATGAGTCCTTCTAGAGAACCATGAAACTTGAGACTAGTCTTGGGGACCCTTGACCCCACAAGTTCACAGACATGGAAAAGCCCCCAGAGTTACCAGCCAATGGACACGGTCAAGTGTGTAAAAGGGACATTAATCAAAGAATCACACAAATGACTATAAAATTATTACTGTGTTAAGGAGGAGAATGAGGGGGGTGATGAGGGTATATCAGGTGACCTGATGCAACTAGGGCAGGGGGCTGCAGGATAAGGGCAGGCTTTCCTGAGGAAGTGGGGTTTGAGTTGAGATCTGAACTCTGGAAAGGGATGGGGGGTGGCATACGCAAAGGTCCTGTGGCACCATCTTCATCTGTCTCTTCTTTTTCGACTGCTAGGATTCAGCCCTCCTCATCTCTCACGATTTGGTCTTTTTTGGTCTCCCTACCTTTTGTCACTCCCCTCGAGGGTTGGCGAACTACAAACTGTGAGCCAAATCCAGCTGGCTGCCTGTTTTTGTACGGTCCTCGAGCTAAGAATGGTTTTAACATTTTTAAATGGTTGAAAACAAACCAAAATGCTGCATTTTGCAAACAGAAACCTGTCCACCAATGTTCACTGCAGCATTTTTCACAACAGCCAAAAGGTGGAAACAATCCAAATATCTGTCAAAAGATGGATGGATAAACAAAATGTGGTCCATCCGTACAATGGGATACTACTCAGCCATAAAGAGAAATGAAGGTCTGATGTATGCCACAACCTGGAGGAACCTTGAAAACATTATGTTGAGTGAAATAAGTCAGTTACGAAAGGACAAATACTGTGTGATCTCACTTCTATGAAATAAGCAAATACATGTTGTTGTCGTGTGCCATCGAATTGATTCTGACTCATAGAGACCCTTAAAGACAGAGTAGAGCTGCCCCATAGGTTTTCCAAGGAGTGGGGGAGTTTTGCTTAGGGGGCATTGAGTTTATGTTATGGTGGTGGAATGATTTGGAAAAGGATAGCGAGAATGAGTGCACAATTTGAAGAATGTAATCAATGTCACTGAATTATACATGTAGAAATTGTTGATTGGGTGTATGTTTTTCTGTGTATATTTTCACCACAATAAAAAGGCTACATTTTATAATGTATAAAATGATATGAAATCACATTTCAATGTCCATCAATAAAGTTTTATTGGCACACAGCTGTACCCATTTGTGGACATATCTATGGCTGCTTTTGATTCCAAAAGGTTAGGGTTGAGTCTGTGCAACAGAAACCATATGACCCACAAAGCAGAAAATATTGACAATATCTGATCCTGTACAGAAAAGGTTTGCTGACTCTCAACCTATAGCATGGAGTCCCTGGGTGGTGCAGATGATTAACCCGCTTGGCTACTAACTGAAAGGTTGACAGTTCAAGTCCACTCAGAGGCAGCTCAGAAGAAAGGCCTGGCAATCTACGTCTGAAAAATCAGCCATTAAGAACACTATAGAGCACAGCTCTACTCTGACACACATGGGGTCGCCAAGAGTCAGAATCGACTCCATGGCAACTGGTTTACTCTATAGAACGGCTCAGCAGAGGGTTTATTCTGAAGCACAGGTCCTGTCCACGCCTCAGCTTAAACCTTGTGTCTTGCTCCCGCTGCCCTTTGGACCAATCTGCGTGGTGTGGGCTGCCCCTGCCGCCCTTCAAAGCGCCACTGCACCCTCCACTCCCAAGCCAGCCTCCTTCCCAGCACATGAACTTCGCACACACTGATCCCTCCCAGGGAGAGTTTACACGTGAGGCCAGGTTCAGGGTTTAGCTCACAATAAATTTTTCTGAAAGAGACTTTAAATCAATTTTTGTGAAATGGCACTACCGCCACCTGGTGGCCATTTCCTCTAACTGTAACTTCGATCATTTCAAATCTTTTTTTTTGAGCCAAGTTTGGACCATTCACCACCACCTGACGGTAGGTTTGTCGTACTGTGTGGCTTGCGCGTTGCTGTGATGCTAGAAGCTATACCATCGATATTTTAAATACCAGTAAGTTCACCCATGGTGGACAGGTTTCAGCGGAGTGTCCCGACTAAAGCAAGCTAGGAAGAAAGCCCTGGCAATCTACTTCTGAAAATCAGCCAGTGAAAGCCCTATGGATCATGATATTGTCTGAGACTTTGACTAACTTTGGTTATGTTATCAGGACAGAGCCAATTGCTAGGGAAGAACATCATGTTCGGTAAAGCGGAGTGTTAGAGAAAATGAGAGAAGCCTTTTAATGAGATGGATTGACACAATGGCTGAAACAGACTCAGACATATCAGTGATTGTGAAGATGGTGCAGGACCGGGCAATATTTTGTTCTATTGTACATGTGGTAGCCATGATTTGGAGCTGACTTTTTGGGGGACACAATTCAATCTATAACAACTAGTATTATCCACTTAGCAATTGTCTGGTGTCCCTGGGTGGTGCAAACAGTTAACGCTCTTGGCTGCTAACTGAAAGATTGGCAGTTAGAACTCACCTACAGGCACCTCAGAAAAAGCGCCTGGTGATCTACTTCTGAAAAATCAGCCACTGAAAACCCTACGGAGCACAGTTTCCCTCTGACACACATGGGGTTGCCATGAATTGGGGTGGACTCGATGGCAACTAGTTTTACTCCCCACTAAACTCTGAGCTCTTTGGGGTAGGGGCAGTGTCTTGGTTTCCTTGTGCTGTTGTAACAGAAATACCACAATTGGGACGCTCTAACAAATAGAAATTTATTTTCTCATAGTTCTGGAGGCTAAAAGTCCAAATCAGGGTCTCAGCCTTCTGCAAGGCTCTCTCCTGGTTTCTGTATCTGCCGGCAATTCTTGGCATTCTTTGGTGTTCCTTGGCATCCCCCCGCCGTGTATGTGTCTCTGTGTTTATTTTGCTCTTTTTATAAGACACCACTCAGAAGTGATTAGATTTAGGCCCCACTTTACATGGGTATGACCCTGTTAACATAACAAAAGAAAGCCCCTATTTCCAAACAGGATCACACCCACAGGTATAAGGGCTGGGATTCAACACATAGTTTTTGAGGACACAGTATAATCCATCACAGACGGGATCCATATCTATGTCCCTAGAACTCAAGGATGGCCTTGGAAGTGATGAAAAAAAGAACCAAACCAGTTGCTGTCAAGTCAACTCTGACTCATGGAGACCCCAGTGTGTGCAGAGTAGAACTGTACTTTACAGGGTTTGCAAGGCTGTGACCTTTTGGAAGCAGTTCACCAGGCCTTTCTTTCCAGCTACCTCTGGGTGAGTTCCAACCGCCAACCTTTTGGTTAGTAGTTAATTGATTAACTGTTTGCATCACCCAGGGACTTCTTCCAGAGGTATAAGGCCAGGAATTCAACACATTTTTTTGGGGAAAACAATGCAATCCATAACCGGTGGCATCCATCTCTACGTCCCTTGTCCTCAAGAATGGTCTTGGATATGGTAAAAACCAAACAAACCAACCAAGAAAACAAGATGCCATCAAGGTGATTCCAACTCATGGCGACTCCATGTGTGCCAGAGTGGAACTGTGCTCCATAGGGTTTTCAAGACAGTGACCTTTTGGAAGCAGATTGCCAAGCCTTTCTTCTGAGGTGTCCCTGGGTAAGTTTGAACCTCCAACCTTTGAGTTAGTAGTCGAGTACTTAGCTGTTTGTGCCACTCAAGGACTCCTTCCACAGATATAAGGGCCAGGAATTCAACATATAGTTTTTGGGGACACAATGAAATCTGTAACAGATGGGATCCATCTCTATGTCCCCAAGGAGGTATTGGATGCAGTAGACACCCAATAACTTTTCTGGTCTAGAACTGAGAGGAGGCTGCTTTGCCTATGAGCTTCCTCAGAGCCACCTTTATATCCTTGTTCCTTAGGCTGTAGATAAAGGGGTTCAGCATGGGGATGACCACCCCACACATCAGGGCTGCTGCCTTGTCTTTCTGTGAGGAGGTGGGTGATGCGGGCTGCAGGTACAGTGCGAAGATGGTCCCGTAGAGCAGTGACACCACAGTGAAGTGGGAGCCACAGGTGGAGAAGGCTTTCCACTTGCCCTGGGCAGAAGGGCTCTTAAAGACCTTGCAGGAGATGCAGATGAAGGAGAGAAGGATGCAGGACAGCGGGCTGAGGCCCATGAAAATGCCAAAAGCAGAGACGACCAGCTCATGGGTGTGTTTGTCAGAGCAGGAGAGCTTCAGCAGGGGCATGAGGTCGCAGAAGAAGTGGGGGATCTCGGAGCCGGTGCAGAAGCTGAGCTGGGCCATGAGGCAGGTGTGCATGAGGGACTGGAGGTTGGTGATCACCCACGGGCCTCCCACTAGCAGCCTACACACACGGGGGCTCATGATGACCAAGTAGTGCAGAGGGTGGACAATTGCCACGAAGCCGTCAATGGCCATCATGGCCAGGAGGAAGCTGTGCATGGTGCCGAACAGATGGGAGGTGTACATCTGCACCAGGAAGCCTGCAAAAGGGATGGCTCTTCTCTGGGTCTGGATGTTCACCAGCATTTTGGGGACTGTGGTGGAGGACAAGAAGATGTCGACAAGGGACAGGTTGGTGAGGAAGCAGTACGTGGGTATGTGGAGGTGGGAGTCAGTGATGATGGCCAGGATGATGAGCAGGTTTCCAGTGGTGGTGACCAGGTACATGGACAGGAACAGCCCAAAGAGGAAGGGCTGATGCTCAGGTTTTTCTGAGAGCCCCAGAAGGAGGAATTCTGAGACCTCTGTTTGGTTTTCTGGTTCCATGGACAGTCTGTGTTGCCTGGGAAAAAGGGAGTGGGGGGCGCAACATGAAGCTAGGAGTTGGAGATGAGGTTCCAGTCCCAGCTTCCCATTAAGACCTGTAGGGTTCTGTCAAGGTCCTTTGAATCCTTATGTTAATCCTGTTGTCTTAAACTACGGAGTCCCTGGGTGGTGCCAACTATTAAGCACTTGGCTGCTAACAAAAAGGCTAGCGGTTCAAACCCTCCTAGAGGCAACTCAGAAGAAAGGCTAGGTGAACTGCTTCTGAAAGGTCACAGCCATAAAAACCCTATGGAGCAGTTCTACTCTGCACACATGGGGTCGTCATGAGTTGGAGTTGACTCGATGGCAACTTTTTTTTTTGGTAAACTATCTTCAGTGGAAGGAGCGCTGGTGGTGCAGTGGTTAAATGCTCTGCTGCTAGCTGAAAGGTTGGTGGTTTAAACCCACCAGCTGCTCCATGGGAGAAAGATGTGGCAATCTGCTTCCGTAAAGATTACAGCCTTGGAAATCCTATGGGGCAGTTCTACTCTATCCTATAGGGTTGCTATGAGTTGGAATCGACTGGACAGTAACAGGATTTTTTTTTTTAATCTTCGTTTTCTGTTTTCCCAAAGCAAACCATTCATCCTGAGAGAGTGTCTCAAAGACTTAATAATTTGGATGATATTGTCTTTGCTGTTGTTAGCTGCCGTCAGATTGGCCCCACCTCACGGCAACCCCATGCACAATGGAGTGAAGCGCTGCCCATTTCTTCGCCATCCTCATGATCGGTTGCAGATTAGACCGTTGTGATCTATAGGGTTTTCATTGGCTGGTTTTTGGAAGTAGATCACCAGGCCTTTCTTCCTAGTCCATCTTAGTCTTGAAGCTCCACTGAAACCTGTTCAGCATCATAGCAACATGCAAGCCTCCAGTGACAGATGGTTAGTGGCTGCGCATGAGGTGCATTGGCTGGGAATCAAACCCGGGTCTCCTGCATGGAAAGAGAATTCTACCACCGAACCGTCACTGCCCTCATGATGTTGTCTATAAATACCTTTGTTTCCCTTCAGTGGAGGAAGGCTTCCTGGAAAACAAAATCCAGCAGAATCAAACCTGAACCACAACCTGATACAGTAAAAGAGAACTTGATAATCTGTTTTTCTTTTCTTTCTCTTTCATCTTTCCTTCATTTCTTTCCTTCCGCTCTTCCTTTCATCCTTCCACAAACAAACAGGATATAATTTTAGCATTAGTTTTCTGTTAAGAACTGGGTGACATCAAGATAGAATGTAAAAACAATGCTCTACCTCTGCTTTCGATGAACTCCCACTTGATCGGGGACACTTCACGATCTGCTACCACATGATCAGTACAGTAGACACCCTCTTACCTGTTGTGATGAAGACCAGTATTTATCAATTTAGGTGGTAACGTAAAATCCATTGAAAACCAGTTGCCATTGAGTCCATTCTGACTCATGGTGACCCTGTGTGCTTCAGAGTACAACTCTGCTTCATAGAGTTTTCTTGGCTGTAATCTTTATGGGAGCAGATCCCCAGGCCTTTCTTCTACAGCACCACTCAGTGGGTTTGAAATGCCAACCTTTAGGTTAATAGTTGAGTGCTTAACCATTTGTTCTACCCAAGGACCTTTTGGATCTATCTATCTATATATATAGTAGACACCCTCTCACCTGTTGTGATGAAGACCCGTCTTTATCAGTTCAGGTGGGAACATAAATGTGATGCAATCATACAATTTTCTGAATATAGATTTGTTGAGGGAGGGAGGATCTGTATGGACTTTCTTGCCTAAACCATACATACGGGCCATCGTCTGTGACATTAGTTTGTTTCATTAACGTGGAACAAGAAATTAAGGATTCTTGCAAAGCAATCTGGGTACATGATCCTTCTAGATTTTTACAATTTTACACTGAAATTGTTTTCAACTATCTTCTCACATCTAGTTTGACAGCAATTCAAATATTTTTATGTGGTAAAATATATATAACAAAGCATTTGCCATTTTAAACATTTTTTTCTTTTTCTTTTTCTTTTATTGTGCTTTAAGTGCAAGTTTGCAATTCAAGTTAGTCTCTCATACAAAAATTTATACATACTTTGTTTTGCGACCCTACTTGCTCTCTCTGTACTGTGACAGCACATTCTTCCTTTCCACCCCGGATGTCCTGTGTCCATTTAACCAGCTTCTGACCCTCTCTGCCTTCTCATCTGGCCTCCGGAGGAGGGCTGCTCATTTAACCTCATGTATCTACTTGAGCTAAGAAGCATACTCTTCACGAGTATCATTTTATGTCCCCTCGTCTAGTCTAATCTTTGTCTGAAGAGTTGGCCTCAGGAATGGTTTTAGTTTTGGGCTAACAAAGAGTCTGGGGGCCATGACTTCCAGGGCCCCTGCAGTCTCAATCAAACCATTAAGTCTGTTTTTTTTTAACTAGAATTTGAGTTCTGCACCCCACTTTTCTCCTGCTCCATTAAGGACTCTCTGTTGTGTTCCCTGTCAGGGCAGTCATTGTGGTAGCTGGGCACCATCTAGTTCTTCTGGTCTCAGGCTGATGAAGTCTCTGGTTTATGTGTCCCTTTCTGTCTCTTGGGCTAATACTTTCCTTGTGTCCATGGTGCTCTTCATTTTCCTTTACTCCAGGTGGTTGGGACCAATTGATGCATCTTAGATGGCCGCCATTTTAAACATTTTTAAGTGTACAATTCAGGGGCATTAACGACAAGCTTCATGTTGTGTGACCATCACCACTATCAATTCCAAAAGTTTTTTAATCACCGCAAACAGAAACTCAGTACCCCTTCAGCAATGACTACCCATTTCTTCCTCCCTCCAGGCCCAGGCAACCACTAATAGATTCTGTTCTCTATGCATTTGCCTATTCTAGATGTTTTATGTAAGTGGGATCATATGATATTTGTTCTTTTGTGTCTGACTTATTTCACTCAGCATGATGTTTTTAAGGTTCATCCACGTGGTAGCATGTCTCAGAATTCTGTAAAAGAACACTGTATGGGTGTACCTTTCGTTTATCCATTTATCTGTTGATGGACACCTGGGTTGTTTCTAAGCGATTAATTCTTTTAGTGATTTCTTTTTATCAAGTCTTTTCAAACCATTTGAGTTGGATTTCATAAAACCACAATTATCTATCTATCTACAGTAAAACCTGAAACAGTTGAAAACTGTGTAAGTTGGAAACCTGTCAGAGAAGGAAAACTCAAATATCTTCCACTAAAATGAGCGAGAGAAAAGTGGTAAGACTGCACCCTGTCAAAAGCGGGAAACTTTCGAGACCCAGAAAAACAAGGCAGTCCGGTCGAGTTCCAGCTCTCATAGGTTGCAGACTATCTATCTGTCTGTCTGTCTGTCTACATATCTACCTACCTACCTACCTAATTTTTCCTTTCTTTCTCATCTTAGCTCTTTCTTTTTCATATTGTTTAATTAAATGATATAATCACCCGAGCAACTACGACCAGTGTAATCAGGTTTGAGGGTCACATAAAATGACTTGACTGGTGACAGCAGCAATGCTTGGGTGAGCTAGCAAGTAGCCCTTTGTCCAGGAACATTCAGCATGATGTGGAGGACGGTCAATATGTTTTCAGAGGAAATGGAAACAGTGGATGAAACCAGAAAGCTGGCTAAGGGGAGGTTTTAAAAAGAGTTTTACCAGAAAGAAAATCTGGAGCTTTAAAGCTAATGGCATTTTGGAAGCATAATTTTCCCATCAGCAGTAGTTGTACAGGATCAAGGAATTTTAAATTTCCTTATGTTCCAGGTCCAGCTGCTCCTTGGAAACCGTATGAGGCAGCTCTACTCTGTCCAATAGTGTTGATATGAGTCGGAATCAACTCGACGGAAGCAGGTTTTTTTTTTTTTTTTTGGTTTTTATGTTCTAGATAAACCATCACTGCTGATGGAAACAGGTTTTTCACCCTCAGTAAACTATGCATTGTTATGTCACATCAAAGAGTTGTTTTCAAAACGTTCGTTGAAAATAAAACATCTAAGACATAGCCCACCCAGGATGTTCAAAGTTAAGCTCTTTCCATCAAAGTGACAAATCATTGCCGTTAAATCAATTCAACTCCTAGTGACCCTATAAGACAGAGTAATCTTGGCAGAAGCAGACTACCACATCTTTTTCCCATGGAGCAGCTGGTGGATTTGAAAGGCCAACCTTTCGATTAGCAGCAAAGCACTTAACCACTGCATCACCAGGGCTCCTTTTAAAATGACAACGGTGTGCTTAAGTGCCTGCTTGATGGAAAGCAAGTCTGCCATGCACTTATTTCTGTAGTTAATATGATGACAAGGAAATCAAGCTTATAAAATATCATTGTGATATGAATTAATATAAAAAATAGTGACTACAGCAATGCATACTTGAGAGCAAGATTTGAAGAAATGTGAATAGTTAGGCAGGTTCTGAAATATTCTCATCCACTCATTTGAAGTTGTTAGCTGGTCTGACCCTGGTTTTAGTTCCCCACCTATTTAAAAAGAAACCTTGAACTCATCATAAGCCATTTTAACCTGTAGAATCAGAGGTCACTGTTGGACTCTTCTGCGTTTGCTTGGACAGTTTGGGATGTAGAGCAGCTTAGTGACAAAAGCCTGGAGATATACTTCACCCTTCACTAGGATGGCTACTGTCAGAAAAATGGAAAATAACCAGTGTTGGTGAGGATGTGGAGAAATTGGAGCCCTCACCCTTGGCTGGTAAGAATGTAAAATGATAGAGCTGCTAAGGAAAATAGTGTGGTGGTTCCTCAAAAAGTTAAATATAGATGGGGGAAACTAAATAGACAATGGATAAGTGGTAACTTTGGTGAAGGGTAAGACAGCACACAATACTGGGGAAGCTAGCACAGCTTGTACAAGGAAAGGTCATGGAAGCTCCATAGACACATCCAAACTCCCAGAGGGACTGAATTGCTGGGCGGAGGGCTGTGGGGACCATGGTCTCGGGGAACATCTAACTTAAT